AACTTATATCCATGTTGGCTCCCATAACTGTTCAGCTGGTCAATTAGGAAGGCCGCCACATCTAGAGGATCTGAACGGTGCTTTCTTCTGTAGAGTCCCATTCTTTGGAGGATTCTTCTCAATGTGCTCATACTAATACAGATCTCATCCACTGTTTGCAGGAGCATCAATATCTCTCCGTGTCTTAGACCGAGCATAAAGTAAAACTTTATCAACTCCATTAAACTTGCCATTGTGCTGCTGAGGAGAAGACGCGCAGGATGATGATGTTCAATCAAACATTGATTTGGAGCGCCAACTTCTGCTTGTTCGTCCTAAATGAGTCTCAACTATCACGTTTATACAATATAACTATCATGTTTATACAATATAATTATCACGTTTATACAATATAATTATCACGTTTATACAATATACTATCACGTTTATACAATATAATTATCACGTTTATACAATATACTATCACGTTTATACAATATAATTATCATGTTTATACAATATACTATCACGTTTATACAATATAATTATCACGTTTATACAATATACTATCACGTTTATACAATATAATTATCACGTTTATACAATATACTATCACGTTTATACAATATAATTATCATGTTTATACAATATACTATCACGTTTATACAATATAATTATCACGTTTATACAATATGCTATCACGTTTATACAATATAATTATCATGTTTATACAATATGCTATCACGTTTATACAATATAATTATCATGTTTATACAATATAATGAGCAAAAATTAATTTTTTCAAGTGACAGCAATACGCTTCCGTAATATAAAATGGCAAAAAATCTGTACAGCTATCTGTCTCAGTGGCTTTTCGGTTGATTATTGAATAGAGTATACATTATTTGATAAATACCACTTTTTAGTAAAATGTTAATATATTTGCATTTTTAAGTATGACACTCTTTCTAAACTGATCATCTTTTGAGAGATGTTGGTATCATACCGGTTGTTGAAATCTTTAAAATTTAAAAACATGGCCATGAACATGGACATGAATAATTTTGGGCTGATTTGGGATTCACTATAAATAGTACTGTTGCTTTTATTAAAAAAAAAAAAAGTATTTTTTAGAAAAACAAAGTTAATGATTTGTTTTATTAAAACATATTTAAGAACTTAGAATCTGCCTGAATTATCTACCGATGAGCCTCAGAGAATAAAAAAGAGAAAATCTGATCAAAGTTAATGAAGTTGTGCATAGTTCATTTTAAATAAGATTTTCTATCATCTCAGTTGTTACATTTTTCCATAAAAGCAGTAAGAAGGACATTAATGTGTATATTTTCTATGTGCAGTATTGACAACAATGACAGAGGAAATGCCAAGTACAACATTTCCTCCAACCACAACATATGGTATGATCTTAACAATTTCCAATTAAAGATTGATCTTTTTAAAGATGCTGATCTCATTTATGAATAAGACACACTGCTTAGCTTGAATAAATGTTCAAAATTTAAAAAGATTTTATTGTAAAGTTTTCAGGGATATTAATATTTTTGGTCTAATTTGAGCTGCACTGTAATACGTATTGTTAACTTTTCTTTTTTATGCTTTTATTGACCAAATGTAAACATTTCTCCTTTCTATCCACAGATCTGGTGGAAATTGATGTGATGCTTGAACTGAGGATTCCTCTCTCCAGTGTCCAAGCTGATATTCTTGATTTATTTAGAAAGACTCTGAAAAATGAAACCTTCCCTATAACCATCTCCCAATCTTTGGAAGTAAAAGAGTTGCTGTTTACCACAGGTAATACTTTAGTAACAATCTGCCTCAATGGTGCCAAAGTGATCATCAAGGATCTGTGTCCAAAAACTGAAACTAATCTGCATCATCTCACTTTATTCACACCATTATATAAATAGTGGAGCTCTATGGAGTTTGACTGCATATGAATAAATTATCTCAGTTTTTTTATTCAGATTTATTTGACCAAAGAAGAACCTTAAAGCTGCAGGACATTGGTTTTCTAGAACTAGATCATGACTCCTATAGATTATATTTCCTTCATCAGGTGTTACAGGAATCAGTTGCTAAAGAAGATAAATGACTTAGACTTCTCATCCAGATTCACAAGAATGGAACCTCTGTTGAAAATTTGTTCTGCAGTAATACTTTTATCGATAAATTTAAATGTTCATAGGCTTATAAAAAAGTTAGATTTTAATGATAATCCTATGGAAAGAAGAGATTGTTGATTGGTTTTGGTATTTCATAAAAATAACTTGTTGTTACATACGTAACTTGTGTACTGGTTGGAAATGACCAACATAAAGCTACGATGCTATTAATAACTGTTGTATGACATTTATCTTCCACACACACAGCCTGCTCTCCAAACTCCACTAACGGACTCATTTGTAATTGTGAGGATGGTTTTGCTTGGCCATGTGAGATGTGCAACAACAGTAATTCATGCAGTGATGTCAGAGGTCAGACCTGTACATGCATTTATGGACTTCCATCTGACAATGAGTTCTGTCAGCCAATCACAAGTAAGTAATACCTTGTTAAATTGGTTTGTTTCAAATTTAACCCAAGTTTAACTCCTCCCAAACAGTTAGTGGTGCACTTCCACTTGCTAGCTCTAGTTCCAACTCTCTATTGTACTGTTTGCCAGTCAGTTGAAAGGTCAGCTGTTTGCCAGGTCTGTTAAAAGTTTAACTCACCTGTCCAGAAGGAGAGCAGCAACCTCGCATGGCTTTTGATCCCTTTCATATTTAGTCTGAACCAACTTTAAAAAATTGAGCAATGTTCACTGCATTTTGCTTATTTTCTTATCCTTTTGGCTTGAATCAGAGAAATATAACCCAGAGAAGGAGGGATTTATCAGCTTTACTATGGAGCGATTAGAATCTGGCATCATCTAAGCTCCATCTCCTGCAACTAAACACAATATTACTATTTGTGAAAATCACTTTCATTGACAAAATGTAAACATATTCTTTATTCTGCACCACTGTATACGTGCTGTGGCTGTGTTTAAAAAACTAATAGTTTTGATGAAAAGGTTGTAGCTGTGACCTTAAATGTTTTGTGTCTTTTCTGGAGAAATACAGAAACATCTGATCTGCTTCTGATCCACAGATAACTCTTTCTGCCCAACCGCTACTCCAGGTATGTGAAGGACAAAAGTAGTTATTTACATAAACAAATTTATTGATGAACTTCATTCAAACAAATTTACAACTTTTATTCTGTCTGAATTCTTTAAAAATGAACCCTTGAGAGAATACAAAAAAGGAAAACTGATCACAGTTAATTTAGTTATACATAAATTATTCTAAGTCATGCTTGTATTCTCTCAATGCTTACCATTTCCCATAAAAACACTAATAAGGACATTAATGAGTATAATTTCTATGTGCAGTATTGACAACAATGACAGAGGTAATGCCAAGTACAACTCCATCTCCTCCAACAACAACATATGGTACGATCCAAACAATTTAACGAATGAAGATTTTTCTTTTGAGAGATGCTGGTCTCATTTCTGTTAAAAATAAAATGTTTAGGTTATTGAAATGTTCCAAATTGAAAAGGATTTTATGCTACACTTCCAGGGACATTAATAATTTTGGGCTGCATTATAAATAGTACTGTTCAATTTTCTTTGTATGCTTTTTTCAAGAAATGTAAAGATTTCTTTCTTTCTATATCCACAGATCTGGTGGAAATTGATGTGATGCTTGAACTGAGGATTCCTCTCTCCAGTGTTCAAGCCGATATACTTGAGTTATTTAGAAAGACTCTGAAAAATGAAACCTTCCCTATAACCATCTCCCAGTCTTTGGAAGTAAAAGAGTTGCTGTTTACCACAGGTAATAATTTAGTAACAATCTGCCTCAATAGTGCCAAAGTGATCATCAAGGATCTGTGTCCAGAAACTGATAGAAACTAATCTGCATCATCTCACTTTAATCAAACCATTAAATTAATAGTGGAGCTATATGGAGTTTGACTGCATATTAATGAATTAACTCAGTTGTTTTATTCAGATGTATTTGACCAAAGAAGAACCTTAAAGCTGCAGGACACTGGTTCTTCAGAACTGGATGATTCCTCCTATAGATTATATTTCCTATTTTTATTATAATCTAATGGAAAGCTGAGATTGTTGATTGGTTTTGGTATTTCCTAAACCTAAAGTGTTGTTGTAATTAGCATTTAAAGCCATAGAAAGTAGCGTCGATCAGAGGTACATAGCTAATATACCGGTGAGAAATGACCAACATAAAGCTACAATGCTATTAATAACAGTTCTATAACATTTATCTTCCACACACACAGCCTGCTCTCCAAACTCCACAAACGGACTAATTTGTAATTGTGAGGATGGTTTTGCTTGGCCATGTGAGATGTGCAACAACAGTAATTCATGCAGTGATGTCAGAGGTCAGACCTGTACATGCATTTATGGACTTCCATCTGACAATGAGTTCTGTCAGCCAATCACAAGTAAGTAATACCTTGTTAAATTGGTTTGTTTCAAATTTAACCCAAGTTTAACTCCTCCCAAACAGTTAGTGGTGCACTTCCCCTCACTAGCTCTAGTTCCAACCCTCTTTTGTACTGTTTGCCAGTCAGGTGAAAGGTCAGCTGTTTGCAAGGTCAGTTAAATGTTTAACTCACCTGTCCAGAAGGAGAGCAGCAACCTCGCATGGGTCTGATCCCCTTTATATTTAGTCGGTACCAACGTTAAAAGATTGACCAATGTTCACCTCATTTTGCTTATTGTTTTATCCTTTTGGCTTGAATCAGAGAAATATAACCCTGAGAAGGAGTGATTTATCAGCTTTACTATGGAGCGATTAGAATCTGGCAGCATCTAAGCTCCATCTCCTGCAACTAAACACAATATTACTATTTGTGAAAATCACTTTCATTGACAATGGGATTTTAACCAGCTGTAAACATACGCAATTGGTCTGGTCAAAATGTAAACATATCCTTTATTCTGCACCACTGTATACGTGCTGTGGCTGTGTTTAAAAAAATAATAGTTTTGATGAAAAGGTTGTAGCTGTGACCTTAAATATTTTGTGTATTTTCTGGAGAAATACAGAAACATTTGATCTGCTTCTGATCCACAGATAACTCTTTCTGCCCAACCGCTACTCCAGGTATGTGAAGGACAAAAGTAGTTCTTTGCATTAACAAATTTATTGATGAACTTCATTCAAACAAATCTAAAACTTTAATTCTGCCTGAATTCTTTAAAAATGAGCCTCAGAGAATACAAAAAAGGAAAACTGATCAAATTGTGTATAGTGATGGATAAATTATTCTAAGTCATGCTTGTATTCTCTCAGTGCTTACCATTTCCCATAAAAACACTAATAAGGACATTAATGAGTATAATTTCTATGTGCAGTATTGACAACAATGACAGAGGTAATGCCAAGTACAACTCCATCTCCTCCAACAACAACATATGGTACGATCCAAACAATTTAACGAATGAAGATTTTTCTTTGAGAGATGCTTGTCTGATTTCTGTTAAAAATAAAATGTTTAAGTTATTGAAATGTTCCAAATTGAAAAGGATTTTATGCTACACTTCCAGGGACATGAATAATTTTGGGCTAATTTGGGCTGCATTATAAATAGTACTGTTCAATTTTCTTTGTATGCTTTTTTCAAGAAATGTAAAGATTTCTTTCTTTCTATATCCACAGATCTGGTGGAAATTGATGTGATGCTTGAACTGAGGATTCCTCTCTCCAGTGTCCAAGCTGATATACTTGAGCTATTTAGAAAGACTCTGAAAAATGAAACCTTCCCTTTAACCATCTCCCAATCTTTGGAAGTAAAAGAGTTGCTGTTTACCACAGGTAATACTTTAGTAACAATCTGCCTCAATGGTGCCAAAGTGATCATCAAGGATCTGTGTCCAGCAACCATTAAAAGCTAATCTGCATCATCTAACTTTAATCAAACCATTAAATTAATAGTGGAGCTCTATGGAGTTTGACTGCATATTAATGAATTAACTCAGTTGTTTTATTCAGATGTATTTGACCAAAGAAGAACCTTAAAGCTGCAGGACACTGGTTCTTCAGAACTGGATGATTCCTCCTATAGATTATATTTCCTTCATCAGGTTTTACAGAAATCAGTTGCTAAAGATGATAAATGACTTATACTTCTCATCCAGATTCACAAGAATGGAACCTCTGTTGAAAATTTGTTTGATAGTAATACTTTTATCAGTACATTTAGGTATGCATAGGTTTATAAAACAGTTATATTTGTATTATAATCTAATGGAAAGCTGAGATTGTTGATTGGTTTTGGTATTTCCTAAACCTAACTTATTGTTGTAATTAGCATTTAAAGCAATAGAAAGCAGTGTAGATCAGAGGTACATACAGTACGTAGCTTGTGTACTGGTTAGAAATGACCAAGATAAAGCTACAATGATTCTAATAACAGTTCTATGACATTTATCTTCCACACATACAGCCTGCTCTCCAAACTCCACTAACGGACTAATTTGTAATTGTGAGGATGGTTTTGCTTGGCCATGTGAGATGTGCAACAACAGTAATTCATGCAGTGATGTCAGAGGTCAGACCTGTACATGCATTTATGGACTTCCATCTGACAATGAGTTCTGTCAGCCAATCACAAGTAAGTAATACCTTGTTAAATTGGTTTGTTTCAAATTTAACCCAAGTTTAACTCCTCCCAAACAGTTAGTGGTGCACTTCCACTTGCTAGCTCTAGTTCCAACCCTCTATTGTACTGTTTGCCAGTCAGTTGAAAGGTCAGCTGTTTGCCAGGTCTGTTAAAAGTTTAACTCACCTGTCCAGAAGGAGAGCAGCAACCTCGCATGGGTCTGATCCCCTTTATTTTTAGTCAGAACCAACTTTAAAAAAAATTTAGCAATGTTCACTGCATTTTGCTTATTTTCTTATCCTTTTGGCTTGAATCAGAGAAATATAACCCAGAGAAGGAGGGATTTATCAGCTTTACTATGGAGCGATTAGAATCTGGCATCATCTAAGCTCCATCTCCTGCAACTAAACACAATATTACTATTTGTGAAAATCACTTTCATTGACAAAATGCAAACATATCCTTTATTCTGCACCACTGTATACGTGCTGTGGCTGTGTTTAAAAAAATAATAGTTTTGATGAAAAGGTTGTAGCTGTGACCTTAAATGTTTTGTGTATTTTCTGGAGAAATACAGAAACATCTGATCTGCTTCTGATCCACAGATAACTCTTTCTGCCCAACCGCTACTCCAGGTATGTGAAGGACAAAAGTAGTGCTTTGCCTAAACAAATTTATTGATGAACTTCAATCAAAAAAATTTAAAACTTTAATTCTGCCTGAATGCTTTAAAAATGAGCCTCAGAGAATACAAAAAAGGAAAACTGATCAAATTTTATTTAGTGATGGATAAATTATTCTAAGTCATGCTTGTATTCTCTCAGTGCTTACCATTTCCCATAAAAAACACTAATAAGGACATTAATGAGTATAATTTCTATGTGCAGTATTGACAACAATGACAGAGGTAATGCCAAGTACAACTCCATCTCCTCCAACAACAACATATGGTATGATCCAAACAATTTAACGAATGAAGATTTTTCTTTGAGAGATGCTGGTCTCATTTCTGTTAAAAATAAAATGTTTAGATTGTTGAAATGTCCTAAGTTTTAAAGGATTTTATTCTACAATTTCCTGGGATATTAATAATTTTGGTCTAAGTGAGGTTTAAGTATAATCAGTACTGTTCATTTTTTATTTATTTTTTTCCCATGGTTCGTCCAACTGATGTAAAGAGTTCTTTCTTTCTATATCCACAGATCTGGTGGAAATTGATGTGATGCTTGAAGTGAGGGTTCCTCTCTCCAGTGTCCAAGCTGATACACTTGAGTTATTTAGAAAGACTCTGAAAAATGAAACCTTCCCTATAACCATCTCCCAATCTTTGGAAGTAAAAGAGTTGCTGTTTACCACAGGTAATAATTTAGTAACAATCTGCCTCAATGGTGCCAAAGTGATCATCAAGGATCTGTGTCCAGCAACCATTAAATGCTACTCTGCATCATCTCACTTTATTCACACCATTATATAAATAGTGGAGCTATATGGAGTTTGACTGCATATGACTAAGTTAACTCAGTTGTTTTACTCAGATGTGTTTGACCAGGGAAGAACCTTAAAGCTGCAGGACACTGGTTTTCTAGAACTACATCATGACTCCTATAGATTATATTTCCTTAATCAGGTGTTACAGGAATCAGTTGCTAAAGAAGATAAATGACTTAGACTTCTCATTCCAGATTCACAAGAATGGAACCTCTGTTGAAAATGTGTTCTGCAGTAATACTTTTATCGATAAATTTAAATGTTCATAGGCTTATAAAAAAGTTAGATTTTCATGATAATCCTATGGAAAGAAGAGATTGTTGATTGGTTTTGGTATTTCATAAACGTAACTTGTTGTTACATACGTAGCTTGTGTACTGGTTGGAAATGACCAACATAAAGCTACGATGACATGAATAACAGTTTCTATAACATTTATCTTCTACACATACAGCCTGCTCTCCAAACTCCACTAACGGACTAATTTGTAATTGTGAGGATGGGTTTGCTTGGCCATGTGAGATGTGCAACAACAGTAATGTATGCAGTGATGTCAGAGGTCAGACCTGTACATGCATTTATGGACTTCCATCTGACAATGAGTTCTGTCAGCCAATCACAAGTAAGTAATACCTTGTTAAATTGGTTTGTTTCAAATTTAACCCAAGTTTAACTCCTCCCAAACAGTTAGTGGTGCACTTCCCTTCGCTAGCTCTAGTTCCAACCCTCTATTGTACTGTTTGCCAGTCAGTTGAAAGTAGTGAACTTGGTTGTCCAGAAGGATGGGGGAAACCCCCTCATTGCTTTTGTTCCCCTTTATTTTTAGTTGGCACAAAAAGCTAGACCAATGCTCACCTCATTTTGCTGCTTTTTTGTTCTTTTGGTTTGAATAAGAGTAATGTAATGCTACGAAAAAGTCATTTCTCAGCTCGGTCACAGAGTGATTAGAATCTGGCAGCGCCTAAGCTCCATCTCATGTGACGACAACCTACTATTCCTATTGGTGCACAACCCTTTCATTGACAATGGAATTTTATCCAGAAGTAAATATAGGTAATATTTTCAGTATTTTCAGTAAAATATTACTTTTGTTCTGAACCATTGCAAATATTATGTTGCTGTGTTGTTGTGTTTGTTTTAATGTTCTTAAATCAGATATAGCTACTACTGTAAATATTCTGGATCATTTCTGTACAAATACAGAAACATTAATTCTTCTTATGATCCACAGATAACTCTTTCTGCCCAACCTCTGCTCCAGGTATGTGAAAGACACAAGTAGTCGTTTACATAAACAAAGTTAGTGATTTATCTTAAAACACATTTAAAAACATATTTAAAAACTTAAAACTTGAATCTACCTGGATTCTTTGCCAATGAGAATAAATGAATTCTTTACCAGAAAACTGATCAAAGTTAATTTAGTTATGCACATTTTATCCAAAATCATGTTTTGCTTTGTTGTTGACCCAAATGCAAAAGAATCAGTCAGGAACAATATGATAACTTACAGTATAACACAAATAGAACCAGAAATCTTGAATATACAGCAAAGTAGCCAACATGGCAAAAAAGTGACTGAGTAGATGAGTTTTGCTGAGCCATTAGAAAATTAAAATAGGAGACTTGAGGGAAGGTGATTAATAAACCTAGAAATTAACATTGTGGGAATAAGAAGAGCCAGTGTTGGTACACTAACAAAAACCAAAAGACTGTATCGAAAACACTAGTGTTTACTGTAAAACAAAAATATTAACTTTTATAAAACACTCTGTGAATATATTATCAACCAAAAATAATCTAAATAAAAAAAAACAAAAACACTCATTCACAAAACACAAAGATAAATGGGATAAAGTACAACAGCAATAACTACTCAAATTACTCCTGGAATGGGAATAACTCTCTATGAAGATCACAATGTTTATTAGAGCTTGTAAAAATTGTTACGTATATAATGGATACAAAAAAAAATTTAGAAGTACACCTAAGATATTTGAAAATGTAAAACTAGATAAGTATATACCAGAAATTCCTGTCAAACACTTTCCCACTTTGTCTTTTGAAACACTATGGACACAAAAATAAGTTTATGCAATATCACTAGCACCTAGTTCTGCTAAACAAACATGTGACCATACACCCCACAGTACAGACCACACTCACATCAGACTTAGTAATCAATCAAGATCGTTGGTAATGGATGGTTTATTAGCATGTAGCTGGACTTTCAACTAACAGCATTCTACAAACCATGTGTGAGGAACTCTGTACAAGCACTGATTTTTTTTCAGATAAGGTTGTCTAAACAATGCACATCTGCTGCTGACAATGCTGCTGTTTGTTTTGATGCTTTGACTACTATGTTACACTTGAACTGTTATCCAGTATTATGGCACAAAAGTTCAAACTGGTTTGTAGAGGTTGGAGCTTTCTCCTTAAAAGGAACAGGGATGTAATATTTGTGTGGTGTTAATAGGTGAACCTCTGCCCACTTTGTGTGGGTTTTGCTTTGCTGAATACAGTTGAATACAGTATCAATGTTTATATTTTCCCATATAAATGCTAATAAGGGTGATAACGTGCACATTTTCTGTGCACAGCAGGGCCAACAATGACAGAGGCAGTGCCAAGTACAACACCATCTCATCCATCAACAGCTTATGGTACGTATGATCCACATGATGTTACAAACAAAGCTCTCAGTGTGAGCTTGTGAAAAAATGTGAAAACTGATCGCTTAGTACAGATAATGTTCTCTGGAAAAGGAAAATGAGTTTTTAAGACTCTCAAGGGGAAAAGAAATGGTTGAACAGTATTCAAATAAAACAAATAGGTTTGAACATTTGAATAATGAATATAAATTAGAAAATATATTTTATGTAAACCTTATGCTGGCTTGTCAGGTTACTGGAAAATTGTTAACATTAAAATAATACCAATGCAAATACTTCAAGTTTCATCCTATTCATATATAAAGACATTAGCCTTTCCAATAACAGTACTATTTGAAAATATGGTATGCAATTTGATTACTTTTAATTATTGTTTTTGAGATTGCATGTATCACAGATATAGGTTTCATATCACATGCAAAAGTGATATTTGTGGCTGTTTGGGGTCTAATTGAGCACTTTACTATCATGGTGAACGTATGAAATAGTGCCCTTAATGATCACTAACTTTGTTAAATGATTCCCAACTTCTAGCATGAAAACTGAAATGGGATTGTTTGTTTCATTGTCCAGAGGTGCTTGATGTGGTCTATGAAGTGTTCATCCCAGTGACCAGCGCCCCACCAAGTTTACTTGACTTGTTCAGAAGGACTCTAAAAAATGAAAGCTTCCCTTTAATCCTCTCACCTTCATTAACAGTAATAGAACTAAATCTAACCAAAGGTAGGTTACAAATGTATGTACATCAAGAGAATGTACACATTCAAAAATATAATGAACATTTTAATTGAGTTAAATTCCTTTAACAGTCTGTGAGCCAAACTCCAATTATGGCCTGCAATGTAAATGTGAGGATGGTTTTGCCTTGCCATGTGATATGTGCAACAGCTACAATTCATGTAGTAGTGACAGCAGTCAAACCTGCACATGCATATATGAACCTTCCTTTGTTGACCAGTACTGCCAGCCAATCACTGGTAAGCATATATTTTTAAAATATTGCTTTAGGATTTACATAAAATTTCCAACTAATACATTTGGATTCCTGTTTTTTTTTTTTTTTTTTTTTTTTTTTACAGATTTCCTTCTGTGTCCTGGTATGGAAATTATTTTTTTATTCTGTGATGTATTTTACAATAAGGGTTTATACATGTTTTATAGTGACAATTTTCCTCAATTTCTTGATAGGTACATTGAATACAACAACCGCACCAGTGGTGACAAATGCAACATCAAAACCAAATAAGACACCAGTGACAAACACAACAACACTAGAAATAATTGTTGAGACCAAATCAACAACAGAGCCAGAAATGACCACGGTGACAAACGCAACTACAATGCCAGAAATGACCACAGTGACAAACGCAACAACAATGCAAGAAATCACCACAGTCACAAACGCAACAACAATGCCAGAAATCACCACGGTGACAAATGCAACAACAATGCCAGAAATGACCACCGAGATAAACGCAACAACACCAGATGTGACCACAGTCACAAATGCAACAACAATGCCAGAAATTACCGCACTCACAAACGCAACAACAACCCCCGAAATGACCGGAGATGCAAACGCAACAACAACCCCAAAAATCACCACAGTTGCAAACGCAACAACAACCCAAGAAATTACCAGAGTTGCAAACACAACAACCCCAGCATTGACCACAGTTGCAAACGCAACAACAGTGCCAGACATGACCACAGTGACAAACGCAACAACAATGCTAGAAATGACCACAGTGACAAATGCAACAAAAATGCCAGAAATGGCCAAAGCGACAAACGCAACAACAATGCCAGAAATGACTACAGTGGCAAACACAACAGCAGTGCCAGACATGACCACAATGACAAACGCAACAACAATGCCAGAAAATACCACAGTGACAAATGCAACAACAACGCCAGAAATGACCACTGTGACAAACACAACTACAATGCCAGAAATGACCACAGTGACAAACGCAACAACTCCAGAAATGAAAACTGTGACAAATGCAACAACAACCCCAGCAATGACCACAGTTGCAAACGCAACAACAGTGCCAGACATGACCACAGCGACAAACGCAACAACAATGCTAGAAATGACCACAGTGACAAATGCAACAAAAATGCCAGAAATGACCAAAGCGACAAACGCAACAACAATGCCAGAAATGACTACAGTGGCAAACACAACAGCAGTGCCAGACATGACCACAGTGACAAACGGAACAACAATGCCAGAAAATACCACAGTGACAAACGCAACAACAACGCCAGAAATGACCACTGTGACAAACACAACTACAATGCCAGAAATGACCACAGTTACAAACGCAACCACAATGCCAACAATGACAACATTGACAAACACATCAATGCCAGAAATGACCATGATGACAAACACAACTATGCCAGAAGTGACCGGCGTGATAAACGTAACATCAGACATGACAACTGTGACAAATATTACAACATTGGAAATGACAACAGTGACCAACACAACAACAATGCCAGAAATAACCATGGTGACAAACACAACTAGAAATCCAGAAATGACCACAGTGACAAACGCAACAACTCCAGAAACGAAAACTGTGACAAATGCAACAACAACTCCAGAAATTACCACAGTGACAAACTCATCAACTCCAGAAATAAAAACTGTGACAAATGCAACAACAACTCCAGAAATTACCACAGTGTCAAACGCATCAACTACAGAAATTACCACAATGACAAACGTAACAATGCCTCAAAGAACCACAGGGACAAACTCAACATCACCATCAGAAATTACTGTGGTGACAAATGCAAAAAACACTATACAAATTACCACACAGACAAACACAACAACATTGCCAGAGCTTACAATAATAACAACCCTAAGAACACCAGATATGCCAATAGTGACAAACTCAACGCAAATCATTGAAACAGTAGACAAAACAACAGCTGCTGTCTTTACTGTAAAAGAAAGCTTTACTCTAAACATGGACTTTCAGGACTCATACAATAACCCAACCAGTGATGTTTATAAGGATATTTATGCTTCTGTAAGTCATATTGATATGCTGAAGTCTGTAAAACAACATGAAGGAATGCATACAGAATTTAATATCTTGATATTTGGTTTGATTGTGATATTGTCTCTACCAGGCTGAAACAAATTGCCAGGAATACATGTCAAAAGATTGCAGTGTGCAGGGTCTAAACTTTAGGTGAGTCAGCGGTTATCTCTTACATATTATGCTGTTTAAATATTTAAAAAATAGATATTGTAGTTGCTAGTAAATACTACAGCTGTATTAGTATTAGAATAAGTCTATCCCGAAACTGATATCAGTTTGATCTGTATTACTGTGTAGCCCCAGCAAAGGTTTCAAACAATCACTCTACTCCTTCCCTAATAAAGGGGATAGAAATTTCACCCAAATTGTGTTTTACACAATAAGTAACTCACCCATTCACACACATGTTGGCGAGCTACATTGTAGCCACAGTTTCAATGAGGTAAACTGGCAGAAATGAGGGTATTGTTCTGAGTTGCCACCAGGCACCCAGAATGTCTTAAATAGGCAGTGTAGGTGAAGTGTCTTGCCCAATTAAAGACTGACGGGCATAGCTGGGGTTTGTCACAGGGCGAACCCCTCCATTCTGAACCAATGTCGCTCCTTGTAGCAAATTGAGAATAACTGTGTTCATTTAAAGCAGAAGGTAGTCTAAGATAGGATTTTGTCTAAACGCTGCAGTGTGTGAGTTCAAGATAATAATAATAATAATAATAACACATTTTATTTAAAAAGGCGCCTTTCTGGACACTCAAGGTCACCGTACAAAACATAAAAAGTGTCAGAAAAATAAAAATTATAATTATAAAAACATTTAAAAACATAAGATCTGATATCTCAATAAATCATCAAACTGTAAAAAACAGTAAAAAACAATAATGTTAAGACCATCTTTATTAATAACATTAAAGTACATACTATGCTGTTTGATCTTTCATTTTGTTATTATATAGGCATTTCTAAAAAAAAAACTTTAATTAAGTAGGCTTCAACTCTGATCCTCAGCACCCACTGTCCTGCATATTTTAATTTTTTCCTTTCCCCCTGACTTAAAAAAATAGGTGATTAATGGACCTTTTGGAAAGGAATGCAAATAATTGATTCAGGTGTAGGGGAGAAACCCATCAAAAACATCCAGGACTAATGATCCTGAGAACCAGAGCTGAAGACCTCTGCCCTAACCTGAGCATCTTTATAATTTAATAAATAGATTTTTTAACAAAATATTACTTCAAAATTTCAATTTCTTTTTTAGTCCTTGCACATCAGTAATTATTTCCTACATCTTTATTTTCAGAATGTTAAAACAGGATGTTTAAACTAAGAAAGTCGATTTTTAATTATCTTTCTAGGATGAAACACAAACAGTAGCTTGTCTGTCTAAAGTAGCCTTAATAATCTCACATATGTAGACATATGTACTATAAGGAACTATAGTTATTCATTTGCTGTTGTATTTGGTATACAGCTTATTTTAGGCATCAGCCATGAACTGTCTAAACCCTTTTTATAAAAATCAGGTTCAAATATAATGAACTGTTAGAGTGACCTGACTTCATAGCAGAATATCAATTAAAATAAAAATCTGTGTTCCAGGTCTGGAAGCACCATCGCTGACTTTTCTCTCAGCAGTTCTTCTCAGGATGCATCACAACTTCAATTAGCAAAAGACGAAATGTTAAATCAACTGGCAGAAAAATATCCTGTGGACATCTTCAGTAAGTGAGCCTCAATAAATCTGGGCTAGGTTTAACCATTCCATTATATTTTCACATAGATCCATAAACCAACATAAGAGATATATGTATACTTTTTTTTATCCTTCCTTTTTTGTCATACAGGTAACACATTATATATGTCAGTTGGCGAAGTTACTTCAGAGGAAATAATTGCTGGGGACTATGTAACTCTGACATGTGGACCTCCTCCAACTAATTTTGGGTTAAATCTAAGGGTGGTTTGGACACTTGATGGAACAGTCCTCCAAACAATTAAACCCAGTGATGACGGGACCTCGAAATACAAAATCTCACCATTCTTTAAAATTCATGATGGTATGTACTGTTTAGACCAACACTACAGTCTGATGTGTGATGGGATCCAATAATACCACATCATATGTTATAAAATAGCTGCTCCAATTGTTTTGGTTTTTAACTCATAAATTGTTTGGAAATATTATTAGCTTCTGCATCATATGATAAAAATAGCAACTATTATATAGCCATGAAATAGGTGGTAACCAAATTTCAGAGCTTTTGAAGATTATGGTTGCAATTATGACTTTGTTTTGTCTTTCAGGGCAATATACCTGTAAGATGAGCCGTGCAGATGGTGCCACTTTCACACAGAGCAGAAACCTAAAGTCTAAACCAGCACCCCTGATCACTGTTAAACCAATAATTGGATCATTGAAATGTCCTGGTTCTCTGACACTAGAGTGTTCTGTTAGAGGAGACTACCAGGTTGAATTTAAGGGCCTGGACCCTCCAAGTAATTAAAAAAACATCCTTTTAGGATTTTCTTCCACAAAGCATGAAAACGTTTAAGACCATGTTTCTAATTCTTTATCATTCTGTCATTTAGGTTCTAGCCCAGATTCAAAAATCAAATATGAGTATCAAGCCCCTGATGGATGTACCCCAGAGGAAAAGACAATAACCTGTCAAGTAACAACAAAGCCAGAGGTTAAGAAAATCATTAAACTGACATTAAACCCAAACGGTGGGTATTTCTCCAGCCAACACAACTTTAAAAAGCTAAACAAACCTACAATGCATCTGAAGCATGATGTAAAGCTTCAATTTGTTCATGTTGCTCTTTGATTTAGATCTAAATTGTTGTTATCCAATTATGACATTTCTCAATGATATGAAGTATCCTTCAAAATATATTGTTTAGGGCAGTGTTTCCCAACTGGGGGTATGCGTACCTCTTGTGGTCTGCAAGGGTATTGCAAGTGGTACATGAAAATATTTTCTTAGAAATTAGCCCGGTGTAGGTACCAGATCTGCTCGGATGGTCAGATCTGCTTGGGTCCTGTGCATGCCAGTGACGTCACGTTACATGATTGGCTGAAAGTTTCCATATGATGTAAAACAAAGTGGTTGCCCAGACAACGATAATAACATCACATAGCGTCAGTGTGCAGAGTCAGGATCATCTGGACCGTTAGAGTGTCTAATGACTGAACAAGTTTTACCTGATCGATCACAAAGCTGAAAAAATCTGTTTATGCTGAACAAAGTAACTGCAAGCGCATGATATACAAGGGGAGAGCTGGGTAGCACTGTAGCTAGCTGTGCTCAGTAGCTAACAGGTTAGCCTCTTTTAGCTTGGTCAGTTAGCCATATTAAGATACACTACTTTTGAATTTGTATCAAAAACAACCAATCGTTTTCTACATGTAGAATAAATGCTGTTTTCTTCGTAAAAATCTCTACAAAAGTATTTTTTTAAGATGTCCCATTTGTCCTCCTCTGCCTACAGATCTCAATAAAAAAAAAAAAAAAAAAAGCTGAGACTTTTTTTGTCTTGTTAAATGGCAGAGTTCAGTCTGTCTTAGAACTTTCCTTCAAGACTGACAATTATTGTTTTATAGTTTCGGCTACTTTAGATCGCCAACGAAATGTTAAATAATAGCAAATATAGGTAATAATATGTTAAAACTCCAAAAGAGATTTGATTAAAAAACGAGTGCAATACAGTTTGTTCGAGTGGAGTTGCCATATGTTGATGTCATAAGAAGGAGCATCGGTATCTGCTGTTTCTCACACTGAGCTATCGGAGATCATCTAAGCAGCTCAGATGTTTTGATGAAAACAAGTAAAACTAATTAAGTCAGTCTGACTAGAATTTTTGTTCTGCATTTTGTTCTCAATTCATCAAGTTTAAATGTATCTAAAAGGGGCCATTTAAAGGTGCTCCAGTTTTAAAAAACAGGTTTATATTATGATTTTAATTTGTATTTATTTTGATTCCTTACAAACTTTCAGGCAACTCATTTATGTTGGATTTTTTTTTAAATTGAGCTGGGAAAAAAAATACAATCATAAAAATTGAATGCTAAATAAGTAAAATATTTTCTTATTTTATAATCAGTTATTGTATTTTCCACTTTGGGACAATCAGCAATACTTTTGACTGACTCATGGTAAGTCAAAATGCCCAAAGAGGTACACAAATTTGAGGAAAATAAAATAAAATTAGCTTTTTGCTTAAAAAAATATTGTGTTAAAAATTATTCACATTATTCTCAGTAATTGGTTGAAATATTGTTGATAGTTTTCATAACAGCAATCTAAGCCTCCTTATCATTACCGGTAGCTTCTGTCATATTTTATAATGCTGCTTCAATAAGTTATGTAATGCATCTGAAATGTTTGATGTTGGAAATTTTTAACCCCCATCTTTAGCTCCCTCCACAGATCTTTTGCTAATTTTAGTCAGGACTCTGAGTGTAAAAATTATGAAATCACTTCCATTATCTCAAGTTAAATCAATGCTTTACCCATAAAGCCACAATCGATCTGAATAAATAGGGGAGGGACTTCATTGTAATTAGGTAGTTACCTTAGAGCCCGCTTAAACTTTTTTTTTCTTTTTGTGTAGTTCTTTGTGAAGGTGATGATGTATTCAGTGCTGGACCTGAAGGTTTTTTTGCTGTTGGTCCCTGTAAAGAGGGTATGGTGGGAAACAAAACCGCAGTTTGTAAGGCTGATGGCACGTATGGAGATATCCAGGACAACTGCGTCCTAGAAGTTATACAGAACCTGCTTGATCAGTCAGAGGTAATCGAGTCCATCTTTTGTCTGAAATATTTTCATATAGCCTTTCCTGTTATTCCAAAAAAAAATTCTGAAATATTAAAGGAATAGTACACCCAAAACATGATTAGCCTTCATTTTCTACTCACCCCCATGCTGAACAACACTCTGGAGTACTTTTTTGATATCTCAAATGCATCTGGAGATCTGGGAGGCTTCTTGCTGTCTGCTGACATTCAAATAATGGAGGTCTATGGTGCCCGAGAAAGAAAGGTCCATAAAAGTCCACAAAAAAACGTGTCAATATTCCTCCATACTGCTCGTCCAATGTATTCCAAGTGTCCTGAGTGGGTAGCATCCAGAATTTACTCGAAACGAAGTCATTTAGAATGTTTTTAGAGCATAAACAGTAGTGTATAGGATTTCCTGAAAGCGCGCGCTTGCACGTTCACGACGCTACGGAAGCCGGCACACCAAACCAGATGGAAGTGCGCATTCAGCGTCTGCTCTGCCGATAATGCAAGCGTAGAAGAAGAAATGTGCTGTTTACCTGTGCAAAGAAAGAAACAACGAAAGAAAAAATGTCTGTGGACTTCAGTGTTGAGGAAGAGCATGAGTTCTTTGCCGAGCTGAATGCGCACTTTCATCCGGTTTGGTCTGCCGCGGTTTCCGTAGCGTCGTGAACGCGCTTTCAGGAAATCCTATACACTACTGTTTATGCTCTAAAAACATTCTAAATTACTTTGTTTCGAGTAAATTCTGGATGCTACCCACTCAGGACACTTGGAATACATTGGACGAGCAGTATGGAGGAATATTGAAACGTTTTTTTGTGGACTTTTATGGACCTTTCTGTCTCGGGCACAATAGACCTCCATTATTTGAATGTCAGCAGACAGCAAGAAGCCTCCCAGATCTCCAGATGCATTTGAGATATCAAAAAAGTACTCCAGAGTGTTGTTCAGCATGGGGGTGAGTAGAAAATGAAGGCTAATCATGTTTTGGGTGTACTATTCCTTTAAATCCTGAAAATGCTAATTCTATGACTTGTCTTATAATAAATTTCTAGATAGCTTCCAACTACTAGTAGTTATTCTGCGATATTTATTACACTTTCACAACACTTCCACAAGTAAGGTTGTGTATCTGTCTCACTCACACACACTGTTCCATGTGTTGACTCCTATTGACTTCTATTGATTTTCAGCCATTTTCAACCATTTCTATACCCTAACCCTTACCAATACATACGTCACCCTAACCCAGTTGACACCTTATCCCTAAACTTAACCATTACCAAAATAGCATGTGAGGACCAGCAAAATGTCCTCACTTTGCAACAACTGGTCCTCAATTTGATTGTGAAATTGGAAAAATAGTCCTCACACTGAAGGCTAGACACACACATACTAACTATACATTTGTAAACTTAGAGATGAGACACATAGGATAGTAGAAATAATGTACTTTCTTGCTGCATATATTTCTAAAATCTCCAAACTATTTGCCTTCAAGGAATTCAATTTGTAATTGCAAACCTTTTGCTCTTGAAATGTGTCAGGAACTGGATAAAGTCACCCTGCCAGGATTCTTGGAAACCCTCAAGGATGCAACTATCAACAACACAAAGACAATAACTGATTCTCCAGCAACCATCAACGCAATGGTTAACATCTTAGAAAATATTGCTCGAAGGGTAGATTTTTTAAATATCACAATAAATGAAGAATCCACAAGGGTATGTACTATAGATTTGCATCTAGTGGTGGTTTTTGATATTAACCATATTGGCAGTGCCCCAGTTTGGCCGGGGATCTACTCATATGAAAATGCCACTGTTTTTGTTTCACAAGTTCCTTTTCAACAAAACATGTGCTACTGATATGGGAATTAATATTCTTTTTCTATTTGTTTTGTCTATTGACACAGAACATCCTGGAAAGTACCGGAGTTCTCACCACTGATGCTGCAAAAAAATCATGGGATCAACTGAACAGTAATAATACAGGAACCAGAAATGCCAGCTCTTCGTTTTTAAGGGCTTTTGAAGGAATAACAGCTCATGTTGTCAATGAACCTTTGAAAATAAATACACAAAATATAATTTTCACCAAAACTAATTTCACAAACATTTTCAACGCGGACTTTAATTCCTCAGTGGAGGTAGAGATACCAGAACCTGGGGGAGAGAAGCAGTCAATTTCAGTGATACTATTTGCATCCATGGACAACGTTCTTCCTGTGAGAGAAAAAACAAATACATCATCCAGTGTTATCAATGGAAGAGTTGCACTTATCCAGCCAGAATCAGATCTTACGAACATATCAATAGCTTTTGATGTAATTAATGAAACCCTGGGAAACCCTAAATGTGTTTTTTGGGATTTCAAACTGTTTGATGGTCTTGGAGGCTGGAGTGAGGATGGCTGCTCCTTTGTAATGAGTGAAAATGGATCAGTCACCTGCAACTGTAACCATACCACCTCGTTTTCTATTCTAATGTCACCCTCCAGCTATACTGATCCTCCGTTGGAATACATCACCTACATTGGACTTGGAATCTCTATGGGTTCTTTGATTATATGCCTAATCATTGAAGGCATTGTATGGAGAAAAATAAGAAAGAACACAACATCGTACTTGCGTCATGTGTCTATTGTTAACATCGCTGTGTCTCTCCTGATTGCAGACATTTGGTTTTTCATTGGAGCGGCCATTTCAAAGACAAAAAATGCACCAGCATGCACAGCAGCTACCTTTTTTATCCATTTTTTCTACCTGGCTCTGTTCTTCTGGATGCTAGCCTCAGCCCTGTTGTTGCTCTACCGTATGGTCAATGTCTTTGATGGAGGGCTGTCTAAAGCATCTATGCTGGCCATTGGATTCTCTTTGGGATATGGTGCACCACTGATCATTGCAACAATAACTATAGCTGTAACTGCTCCTTCAAAAGAATACATCAGAGGCAATGTTGTCTGTTGGCTCAACTGGGACGAGTCCAAAGCTCTTTTGGGGTTTGTGATACCTGCACTTCTGATAGTGGCCGTGAACCTTATAATCCTGATTGTGGTGATATTCAAAATGTTAAGGAGAAGATCAGGGGAGAATGCTGCCCAAGCAGGAGAAAAGCATGTCCTGCTGGTGATTGCCAGGAGTCTGGCTGTTCTAACACCATTTTTTGGAATAACTTGGGGTTTAGGAGTTGGAATCATGTTTAGTCCAAACAACAGAGGGATCCACATTACATTTGCACTGTTCAATTCCCTGCAGGTAACTATTCATGTTCATGAGCGGTAATTCTTAATACTTTAACATGATTTCTAATATGACACCTGTGTTTTTCTCTAATATTTCTAATCCTTTTGTGCTTATAAAGGGTTTCTTCATTTTGGTGTTTGGAACTCTATTGGACAGAACAGTGAGTTTGCCTGGGCTGTTAGGCTTTTTGACTCACAATATAGAGCAAATACTGGAATCAGTTATTATGCTTGTATAACAAAGATATATTTATTAATTTCATATCATTTTTCAAATCTTTAAAAAGTAGATACTAACCAGCAAAAATTTAATTTCCAGGTGCGGTCAGAGATCAGAAAATCTCAGAGATCTACCTCGCAAACAAGAACAAGGGTACAAAGTTTGCTTCACTTAAATTATTTCACTATCGGTTCACGTTTTGGGGTTATCACAATTACTTTTTTCTTGTTTTAGAGCACAAGTGCTGGAACCATATCCAGTGGATTTGGAAACCTTTTCAGGAGATTCAGAAAAGGAAAACGTATGTAAACATTAACATCCACAACCATAAATATGTATTAGTCCTATTTTAGGCCTTTACATGTAATATTTTTTTTCACCAATTTATCTAATCCTGTTTATTTTTATATCATAAATTCACAGCATATCATCTTAAGGCATATTATGGTAGTCAAATTATCTAGAGTCAGATAGGTTTAAAGTTACTATATAATGAATCCCAGAAAACAATCAAAAGAGTGATAAAAGAGTTAGGGTGAATTGGTAGCCTCTTTACTGGATTGATCTAATAGAGAAAAATGGCCAAAAGTAGGGCCTGGAAAAGTACTCTACTTGCAATACAGAAGTAGTAGTTTGATTCAGGCTTCCTTTTGTCATATATTGTTGTGTTCCTGAAAAAGGCAAATTATTCTTCTTATCCGTGTATGTGTGTTCTTGAGTGAGAGCAATGTTCTGAAAGTGCATAAGCGCTTTTAAGGGTCAGTATTATGAGATAAGCATAAATTCAGTTCATTTATCATATTACTTTCTAGGCAGATAAGCGCAGGGCCACTGTAGTGCACAGATTTATTGAACCGCCTGTTGGTGGGAAGCAGATTTAAATGGGGGTGGGGCTGGGAAGATTTAAAAAAAAAAATACTCTAAAAAAGTCTTCAAAATGGATCTGGACCTAAAAAAGCTGTGGGAGATAGCAAGCTCCCCCAGGGAGGCCTATTGTCTTTTGGGTTGTTAAAATCCTTCGCAGAGACTTCTTCTCTGCTGCAGAGCCCCCGCAAACCCAGTTGTGATACTTACTGAATATAGTATGCATTAATTGACTGACTGGTAGAAGGACAACTGCAGCTTCTGTTCCTGGTGGTTTTTCAGAGAATTCTTAGAAGCGGTACACTCTGCCAAAACAACTTTGTTCATATTCATTAAAAATGGTGCAGCATTGGGAATAATGATTCAAAAAGATAATAGAGCAAAACAACAAAGCACACTTATTAAACACTACTACAGCTACACCACAGTCCTTTTCAGTGGAAAGAGGCTCTACTAATGCTCACAGGGCTGAGTTCACATAAGCTGGGGGGATATACATAGCTGTGAGTATAGCAACCATTAGCTCTCTAGGGAAGTAAAAAGGCAGATGACGGTTGATGCCTCAAGATCAGGATAACAGTATTCGGGAGTCACATGACTTTGTGAGCATCAGTTATTGATGCATATCATACAACTACAATTTTCAGACTAAATGTTGAATACTATGTATTCTGTAATCTAAATTTAATAAAGTATTTTTGTTGCAGGCTCTACAAGTGGCTACCAGGTGTCATCTAATGGATCCATGGACTCATCCTCCAACACTTAATACATTGCAAAGAAAATTATGGTTAATTTGATAAGACTGTCCATGCCATAATTCAATTATTTAAATAAAAAAAAGGCCATTATAAAGTAAAAGTAGCCAATTTTAGTGTCTGTTATAAAATCGGCTTCAGTTAATGCAAAAATCTTCTATAGTACATATACATGTTTTTAGATTAGATAGTAATGTGGTGAAATACCTGTTTTTAGGAGTCTGTAAAAGTGAGATTTAATCAGAGGGGTTAATTGATATATGTATATATTTGTTAGATTTATATCAGATTATATAAAAACAGATTTGAGTGCAGTTACTGATGGCTCTAATGATGAAAAAAGATCCATAAGATCATTCAAATTGACATTATATGTTCAGCGTAGATAAAGAAAAGTCATAAGTTTACAAAACAAGTTATTAGTCGACTTGTGTAAGATCAAGATGATTCTAAACCCCTGCACTGTTACTCATCTAATGTAACTTATAATGTGAAGACCTTAAATGCACTTTGTTGAACATTATAAATTAGGTGGATTGCATTTAATTTATAAGCTGTTTTGTTTAATGTGTGTAATGCACCTCTCCTGTTTTATTTGAGATTATTAAACCCTAAACATTAAGACATGTAATTTTAATCTTGCCTTCTTTAGTATTTAAGTACAGCATGCTAACCTAATTTTTATTCACTTTCGGCTGAAGTGAATAAATCCGCTGCGGTGCATAGTGTCTGCACAGTGTCTGTTAATTTTGCTCACTGCTAAAGTATTTGAGTATTAAATCATTTCCATAGCAGTGGCACATCGTAATGCAGGTCATGCAGCACAATCTTTTGGCATGGCCAAACAGTATCTTACAGTCTCTCTTGGCTGAAGACCAAGTTTTGGTTGCTACAGAGTGTAATATATAAGAAAGGGAAGCTGAAGTAATATGAAGCATCACTGCTGCACTTCAAAAATGGAAATGTCTTGAGAGCTGTACTGAACGAAATTTCTTTTTGTATACACTCTGTGTGTACAAAATGACAATAAAGTCTGTTTAAGACTCCGCGCCTGATTGCGGTATGCATGTTTGTATATATCTATACAGCCTGAATCCCTTTACTACACATACTTGATGGAGGTACAAAAGCTATAAAATAAAGTTAAATTAATTTGTTGCTTGATAGTAAAATGAAAGCTTTAATGCTTTGTTGATGAAAAAGGGTTTAACAATGTGTTTTTACCTCTGTCCATGTTTGCTTGTTTCTGAATGTGAAAGGTGTGTCAAAAAATATGGATGCATATATTCCCTAAATACTGTTATATTATATGATCTTACAATTTTTATTATAAGTTAGAAATGCAAATGATTTTTTAAGTAGATTTAGATAATGAGTATATATTTGATTTTTTTTTCTTATTTTGAGTTTCGTTAGTAGTAACTAAACTTTTTAAATTCCGAATAATTTTTACATCTTAAAATGTTATACTTCCAGTAAAAATGAATACATATTCAAAATACAGGAACTGTATCAGAGGAGTCAATCTTTTTTCCTTTGTTTGTTTGGTTTTTTCTTCAATACCATGACAGAGTTAAGATGTTTGGCCCCAAATAGATTTTTTTCAGCCTAACAATCATACATTTGTCAAGTTAAGATAAAATAAACCTAACAATTTCTGACTGATTCTATATGCTTTTAAATGGAATAAAACTGGCACATCCACAATTCTGTCATGTTTATCTTTAATTTGTTTCACTCACCATTAAAAGTTTTTTTCATCTAGTAATTTTTTTTCTGTGCAACTTTGATAAATCTATTGCCCACCCCAACAGGGGTGGAAAATGTGTTATTTAATCAGATATTATTCAGACTGTCATATCTTGTTTATGAACAAATGCCCTACAGGCAGTGTGTTGGTACAACAAATCCAAGTGTGAATCAAGCTCAAATCATGTTTAGATAATTCTCCACATAAATAGAATAAATTCACCTCAATTTCTATTCAAAATATAAGTTTATCCACAAAAATCATTCAGCTCTAAGTCAAGAATATTTCAGCTAAAAACTCTTGACTAAAGACTAGTGAAACTTAACTAAAGCACAAAGAAGAAGAAGAAAAATCTTTGTTGAAAACCATAATCCATGAGATGATGCAGTGACATTACAGTTTGGCACAGCATGGATTTTGTTTGAGAAGAAGTTAATTTTGAAGAATTTTGGATGTGATCAAATTAGCATTTCACTAATTTAGAGCAACCAATAATCTTTAGTTAATTGATTCTTAGTCTTCTTTGAGTGAGCCAGTAGCATGTACCTCCTTCCCCTTGGCTCTATTTTTCTTTTCATTGTTTTTGCAGATTACAAACAGATATGTTCAACAATAAAGAACGCAGATCCCACCGCTCTTCGGTCTCTGTTATTATGTCTGAAAGATATGAAGGCCTGGGTGGACCTAAAAATATCCTGAAACTTAATGAAGATGAGACAGAGGTAGTGATTTCTGGCAGACCCAGTGTAGAGTCCCTGACCAATCTTGGCTCTTCTGCCCATTATGTCAGGCCGGTTGTTACAAATTTAGGGGTCAAGATGGATGCTAATCTTAAGCCAGAAGCACACAGAGCTGTTGTCAAATCCAGTTTTTTACACTTAAGGCAGCTAGCCAAACTAAATCTATTATTTCCAGACAACATTTTGAAACAGTAATCCATGAATTTGTGACCACATGTCTGGATTACTGTGATGCACTTTATATATTAGGAGTCAATGATTTATATATTTCCCAGCTTCAGAGGAAACAAAATGCTGCTGCACATCTTTTAACAGGTACACGGAAATTTACAACATTTCCCCTATTTTAGCTTCCTTACATTGGTTCCCAGTGCATTTTAGGAGTCATTTTAATTCCTTTCATTTGTTTTTAAAGTTCTTGGGAACCAGGACATGAGCTGGACTTCTGCAGGCCTGTTTGCCTGAGCTGTTCTGTCTCTTAATACCTGAGCCTGCCTGAACCCTTCGTAATCTGATTGCCTATATGTTTGCCTGATCTGATCTGTTTCGTCTCCTGATCATCTGAGCCAGCCTTACCCGTTTTATCTGTAAGTCTGCCTGTTACTGGACCTGGATCTGTACCCTGACTCTGCCTTGGATTTCCCTCTGGATTCTCTCTGGAACTTGGGTTATCCGGTTCTGACCCTATAGGCCTCATCTGTGACAACGGTTTCTGGAAATTCCTGCCGGACCCCCAACCAGTCATCAGCATCATGATTCTGATCCCTTGTCTGTCTCCTGAAAACCGAGTATCAGCTAGAGTTCCCCTGATCAGATTGGTGATCGTTAGCGTGCCAATCAACTAACTGGACCACTGTTCCCATCAGACTCCAGAATGTGAGAAGGTTAGTGAGTGTTACTACTATCTATCCCTTGTGTAAAGTTGGTTTGGGCACTCACCTGCTGTCTCTGCTTCCACATGATTCTGATATAGACGTTGATGATAATCCCGCGACCGGCTTCAGTTTACCTTTAAATAAACTGTCTTTAAACATCCCTTGTTCTGTTCTGGCTAAGTTCTGGGATCCTTACTGTCTGATTGCAACAGTTTGTTATTATTGGCAGACAGATCAGTTCCAAACTTCCCTTTTTAATGCCTGTTAACAAGCAAAGTCCTAAACCCAACCCTAAAAAGAGAATCTTTACCAGTCGGGACCAGTCGATAGTCCCAACAATTACCCATAGGTAGGGAAATTACCCCCAAAAGGTAATAAAAATATGGCCACACAATCACTATCTCTTTCCAAAGGTAATAAAAATATGGCCACACAATCACTATCTCTTTCCAGGCTCTTTTGTTATTCACATATTCTGGTTCTGTATTTTATTTTAATTTCTTGTTAATTGAAAAAAAAAGTCTTCCGTCCCTTTGCAATTATTTCTGCTCACTGATTTTTTTTCTTTATTAATACTATTCTGCATTGTTATTTCTGATGGTCCAGATTTGTTTACAAACCACATAACCTTTCTCTGTCGTCTGGCGTTGTACCAATGTTTCCTTAAGAGAATCCAAATACAGGAAGGCAGAATGAAGGTTGAAGCTGAAACTAGGTTGTAACTAACTTAATCTGTGACAGAAAAAAATCCAATGATACACAAACAAGAAATAAAATCTCAGAAACATCATGTAGAATGGATAAGTTGAAGATCTTGCAAAGATTGAGTGGAACTGGAAGGATTGCGTTCTAGACTGAACATTTGCTGGGATAGGTAACAATCACCTAGTAAAACGAGAACCTTAACAATCAAAGTGTTTCACTCAATGTTTGACATGTAAATGTATGTTTACCTAAGGTAAAGCTGCTCCAGAAACATTATACACTTTTTACTAAAAACAAAAGAAGAATAGAGGAAACACAAAGCAAAACTATCATTTAACAGAACACCATCCATCCATGAGCAGCAGCTGTGAAATGAGGAACTGATGTAAGGACAACTGTGAACATAGGAACTAAATCAATACAGAACAGAACAGTAGCTAAACAGCATAGAGTAAAAAAAAATGCTTTATTTAGCAGTTTTATTTATCATAATGCCTTATCCAAACTTCACAAACTTCAATAAGAACATTCTCAATGTTAAGACTCTTAAAATTAGATCCTAATATGAATCATTCTTTTTAAAAATATCCATTAAAGTTATGTTACCTTAATTTCAGTGTTTTTGTTCAAGACAAAAAAAAAGAATCTCCTTTTGTAAAAAAAAAAAAAAAAAAATGACATACTTTTCTGTATATATTTACGTGTTTGTTAATATGTTTTTCATTTTGCATTAAATGTAAATACAATTGGGTTTTAAATATGGTATAATTTCTTTTTCTTTTTTTTTGGTAACATGCCACATGTAGTGTTACCAGAAGGTGATAAGTGTCATATGTTAAGATGTTGGTGGATTTTATTTAAAGACCTGGCCTCTCCATAAAATGCATGTGCAAGAGCATACACAAGCCCATTTCTAATTGTACATGCACCATTTAAAAAATTGCTGTTCTCATACCTTATACAAGCTTATTACGTCCACATACAGCGGAGGCTATATAGTGGAATT